TGACTTTAGAACCGAAAGGGGAGAAGTCGTAGAAATAGGCTCACATGAGGTAGATAATTTCGTAACTGAATAGTCTATATGTTTTGGGTTGAAATACGCACTTGTCGATGACTCATCCCTTGTTACGAAAAGCTATTGGGATTGGGATAATTGGCCTGTGTCGTATGCTCGAACTTGTTCGTCTATGTTCAATCCCTTGTTACGAAGAGTTATTGGAAGCGAACCGCTAGATGTATAAGCGAGAGTGTCAATCTCGAACTGAACAATTGATAGCCCAACTTTGCTAGAACTTGAATTAATTATCCCCGATTCCTTAGCTTCTCTGTCTTTGTTTCTTTTATACTTTAGGTAGATTATTGCTTTTATTTTATTTCTTAGCTGATAGTTTCTCATATCCATTATCTGATTAGTATGTTTAGGATTTTCTTTGCTTTTATGTGTTGTCAATACCAAAGCTGAATTCCGAACCGCCTTCCTCGTGAGATCGACCAGGGGAATGAATCTTTCGATTCGGTACTCGGTAAAAAGATTAATTTGTACACAACAAATTTGGCGCCGTTGCCGGGGAAGACAAGTAGGATATTTGGTTTTGGTATTGATTTTATTTTTCGTGTTTCTCTTTGTTTTGTGATTTTCGTATTTTTGTTCTCTTTTTTGTGCATATTTGTTTTTGTTTTTGTCTTGCTTGTTTCTGTTTTCTTTTTCTTTTCTCTTCGTGGCTACGCGTGGTTGTTCTATTTTGGTGTGCAGGAGATATGAACTTCAACCGTGCTTTTCTTTATCCGCGCACTTAACCTCGGGGTTACGAGCCGAGCTATCACACCGGGTACCACAACCAGTCATATCCGTACTCTTCCGAGCTGTGCTGGGACCCCTTCCCGGTCGAGCAACATTATGAGTCCCACAAGTTTAACGAGAAGCTCGACCAGATTCTTAATTTCATAGAGTCCAAATCAGCCCGAGAAGAAGAGGCCGCCTACAATGCCAAACTCGATCTCATCCTAGATCGATTGATGGCCCAAGCAAAACGAGAGGAGAAGATGGAGCTCAGATGTGCCCGTTTGAGCGAGCAAGTGGAGAATCTAGCAAGGCGCATCGACTCTATCGAGTCCCAGGCTGATGAGCCCAAGGTTGTGGACCCCAATCCAGCACCTTTGCACTTCCATGAGCAAAGGGATGACTCTTCGGGCTATAATGCCAAGCTTGACCTTATCCTCGATTGTATGGTGGCCCGAACAAACCCAGAAGGAGAGATTGAGCTCGGATGTGCTCGACTGAGTGCACAAATGGAGAGCCTCACTGCACGTCTCGACTCTATAGAGGCACAAGTCGACGAACCCCACCTCATGATTGATACTTAAGCCCGCACGCTGAAGCAAATGTGTGAGGCTGAAGAAGATGACGATGACTCCCAGCGAGACATTGATGATATTTCAAAGGAGGAGATCCATGGGCTTGATTCTCAAGTCCAACCTCCCATCTTCCGAGTTAGAGCACCCATCTTCGAGGCCCTTACACTGTGTTACAAAGTTGGGAGGATTCAGTTCGACTTGCTCCACAGATGAGCTTATTATTCCAGAGGTTGATGACATAGCTCGTGTGGGAAAAGCTCTATGTCGATTACTAGGGATTGCTCGTGCTCGAACCTACTCCATCAAGAACATCACCACCCAAATCCACTGTGCTAGCCTTCTTGTCAAGCTTCCCACGCTACCACTTCTGGAAAACACGAAGACATGGCACGACCGTCACTTCTTCTTAGATCCCGGTTGAGTTTCCCTCAAGTTTCATCAAGCTAATGACGTTAAACAAGCGCTTCTTGGGAGGCAACCCAAGCGATTTACTGCTTTCGTAGATATCTTCTTTTTTGTTTTTTTTTGTTTTATTCTTTGAATAATTGGAGTTTGGAGTTTTGTGTTTTTCTCGACAGGTACTGATTGCAAGCTCGAGCAGGAGTACTATCGAGGCTCTGGGGCTGCGCATAGGCGAGCGGCTTGAATGTGGATGTTTGTTCTCCTCGAGGCGTTTCGATTTGCACACCCTTTCATTTTTTCTCTTTTTGAGTTCTTTTTCTTTCGTCTTTTCTTTTGAGTTTGTGTCTCGTGATAGCTGCTAGTTTGGTTCATTATATGAAATTGCTAGGTCCTTATTTGACTTTCCGGTTATGTGTTGAAGCAATGAGGTCCTTGCCTCATATTAAGTGTGGGGGAGTCTACTTGGATTTTGCATGCTTATGTGGTGGACCGGTCTAGTTTTAGGATTTTGTTGTGTCTTTTTGAGCTTGGACTATGGTGTATGGCAAGATTGGTTAATGACTGTCGATTGAGTTGAGTAGTTGTGATGATGGTCATTCATTATATGCTTTGATGAAATGCTTGGTTGATGTATTTGACGACAGTGCACCAAGTGAGGTTTTGAGCCTTTTTCTTATTCTTGAGAGTTGGTCGATTTCTTGTATAACTGAAACTTTCCTTGAGTCTATTTTTAAATAAATTAATTTGAGTCTTGAGCTGTAGAAATGATTGAGGCATCTTTTTGTTTAGCTCGTTTTACCCTGCTCTTGTCCTTGATATATATATCTCCGCTAGTAGCCGTTTGAGCCTTGGACTGTTTTTCTTGTTTATCCTATTGATTTGTTGCCGACGGCCTGTTATGCGATTCATAAGTATGACGGAGTTATTTATTTTATGATTGAATGGGGAGTGTAGCATACTACTTGATCGAAAAAAAAAATCAAAAAAAAAATCAAAAAATAAAAATAAGAAAATAAAAATAAAATAAAAAAAAGGAGCTCGCAAGACGAACTAAGAGGATTCTACTCCTCTTACTTGTTCATGCGAATGGACGAGTAATGAGTAATGGAAACTACTCTTGAACACTTGGATAACCTCCAAAGTCTAAACCAAGAGAACATTGTCTTTAAAGTTCGACCTTGTCTGGAAAAACAAACTCCAAATAAAAAAAAAAGAGAATAAAAAAGAAAAAGAAAAAAAAAAAAGAGAAAGAAAAAAAAAACGATCAAGTGTGTATAGTGCACTATGATTTGAGCTTGTGCGTGTGGTGTATGGAGACTTTTGGTGAAGGAAGTAGTTATATGTTGATTATGTTGAGTGGCATGACTCTTTCAGATTATTAATTGTAGCCGTTTGACAATTTTAGGTTCCTCTTGTTACCTTGAGCCTACACTACAGCCCGTCAAGTCCTTTTGATCTGCTA